AATGGACCTGTGATAGTACAGAGAGAGAGGACAGAATGGACTTTGGTTGGGAAGGAGAATTCGTACAATTTGTGGTCATATTCAGAGTTATAATTCTCCTTCTATAATAACAGGTTCAGCAGCTCCACCGAACAGAGTTGTGCATCACGCTTGTTGAAGCGTCACCGCCGCAGGCGTAAACAGAGACCACCACGTCTGGAAAGGGTGAGTGGACCTAACAACTGGCTGTCAATTGGTCCCTCCTCCTGCAAGGTTATACATAGAATGGGGCTTTGAGACTCCTCCTCCTGCAGGGTGATACATAGAATGGGGCTATGAGTCTCCTCCTCCTGCAGGGTGACACAGACAGAAGGGGGTGTGAGTCTCCTCCTCCTGCAGGGTGACACAGACAGAAGGGGGTGTGAGTCTCCTCCTCCTGCAGGGTGACACAGACAGAAGGGGGTGTGAGTTTCCTCCTCCTGCAGGGTGACACAGACAGAAGGGGGTGTGAGTTTCCTCCTCCTGCAGGGTGACACAGACAGAAGGGGGTGTGAGTTTCCTCCTCCTGCAGGGTGACACAGACAGAAGGGGGTGTGAGTTTCCTCCTCCTGCAGGGTGACACAGACAGAAGGGGGTGTGAGTTTCCTCCTCCTGCAGGGTGACACAGACAGAAGGGGGTGTGAGTTTCCTCCTCCTGCAGGGTGACACAGACAGAAGGGGGTGTGAGTTTCCTCCTCCTGCAGGGTGACACAGACAGAAGGGGGTGTGAGTTTCCTCCTCCTGCAGGGTGACACAGACAGAAGGGGGTGTGAGTTTCCTCCTCCTGCAGGGTGACACAGACAGAAGGGGGTGTGAGTTTCCTCCTCCTGCAGGGTGACACAGACAGAAGGGGGTGTGAGTTTGCCCCTCTTTGGGTGACACCAGTTTGATGATCATACAGTTGACTCGTTGTCTTTGTTTTGTAGACCTCATCGTTCAGCAGTGTGACGGACTCCACCATGTCCCTGAATATAATCACAGTGACACTAAATATGGGTATGTCCTCCGTCCTCTGTGTGCTGTGATTTCTTCTTCTCGCCTCGGCTGTGGCCGCCATGCTGTAGCGTATTGGCCTTTCATGTTAAAGTTTTAGGATTTGTGTAAAATAGACAAACTGTAATATTTTCTTTGAGTCCTTTGAGGGACACAAGAAGTCTTTAGTCTTTGGGTTGTGCAGCCACCTACCGGAGCATTGGGCACTGACAAACGACTGTAGGCCAGGCCAGGATCACCACCACTGCTACCAGCATGCTTTTCTTTTGTAGCAAAGCAACACCGGGAGCGTGATCATATACAGGGGGGGGGAGGCTTGTTTATCTCAATTCTCTCTCTAAAACCATTTTAAGTAGTAAAGAAATCCCATTTTTCTTGTCTTTTGATGGACACAGCGAGTCTTTTACCTATAGAACCTTCTAAAGCAGGCCAACTGAGGGGTGGGGGGGCAACACAGTAAACACAAAAGGCTAACTGCACTGCTGAAAACGGAACTCGAGGGAGCATGCAACTTGAAGACCTGCCTGAAGGACCTTGTGCTGGTAGAACTTGGCAAATGTGTGAACAGAAGACCAAATGGCAGCTTTATGAATCTTGGGGACGGTAACCTTATTCCAGAAAGCCCGAAGATGTTCTTGGAGATCTGGTAGAGTGCACTTTGACATGGGAAGGTAGGAATCTGATCTTTCAAACCATGAGCTTGGATGATGGTGTGCCTGAGCCACCTAGGGGTGGTGGGCTGAGAGGCACGGCCTCGGATGACGAAGAGGGAATCTGTGTTGCCTAGGGTCCCAGAGACTGAACCACATCCAGAAAATGGAGGGAAAGTTTCCTTTAGGTAGAATGGAGCCAGACGACGGGACCGAGAGAGTAATGTGCTGGTGGAAACTACCCTAGACAAGAAGATGATCCCGAGTCCCTATGCAGAACCAGAAAGGCCATTATTGTCATACTCCAGCCTCTCTGAGGTCATGGCTGCAAGAAACACCACCCTGTAGGGGAATGCAGAGATCGGAATGTCTCCAATAGTTTCAAACTGGTTTCTGAAGTGCAAAGAGAACCAGAGTTAGGTCCCATGGATTCTCAGGCAAACAGACAGGGGACACTTTCTTAATGTGGAGGCTAAAAAACTCAAACCGGATAGAAAGAGCTGAACTCTGACCCGTGATGGGGAGCCATCCAAAGACCTGGCCAGCAGCAGACTGCTTGGCAATTACCATCATGAGATTTATAGGCTGAAAATGCAGATTCCTCGGAGTGTGGGCTTCAACGTCCACACCATGAAAGCCAGAGACTGTTAGGCAGGATGGTAGTTTGGTCCTTGAGACAGAAGACCGGACCATCTGGTAGCAGAGCTTTCCCCAGGAGTCTTTCCAAATCCAAGTAGCACATCTACCTGAGCCAGTCAGAATCAATGAGAATGTCCTACATCACAATCCCGGAGGAGGAAGACTCCATGTAGGAAAGGCCTAGATCGTGGCGTACTACTCATCCCACACAGCTGCTAGAGCATCAAATGCTTCCACTAAGAGGGTTCCTGGACCTGGGGACAAACCTGTCCTGTGTGGTGGTGAAGCTGGAGGCCAGAAGGTCCACATCCAGTGTGTGCCCCCCCCCCATGATACACATTGTGGAACATCTTCGGGTGTAGAGACCACTTCCCCGGGTCTAGAACATTCAGAGCTTTTGAGATCCAAAACCAAGATGAGTTGGATGCCCCCTTTGATTTGAAAACCATGTCGAATATAGAATGCTGAAACCCTGGTTGGGATGACCAGAGAGCTCAATGGAGATCTGTGTAATGGATCTGGGCGGCTCACTCGGGTGACGTCACGGACACGATCGGCCGGGCCGCCGATGTCGCGCCGCTCCGCCCCCATCCTCGGCTTAAGCAGAGATCTCTCGGTTGTCTGGCGTTCCAGCAACCAGTGCGGACGCCTGACAAGTGCTGGCCACCTCTGCACAGCACTAGGAGCCGCAAGCCACCTCTCCACAGAGACCTGCCATCTCCCTTCACCGCCGACAGGGTCTCTGGAACCTCATCCCAGCCCCAGGAACCATACAAGCAATCTCTGCGGAGTAGGAGGAGACAACATGCAGCCCTACCAATCGCAAGGACTCAACTCTGGTTCCTTCCATCGGTGCTAGCTCAATTGTCTTGTGTCTCTGGATACTAATTGATTACCTGATGCATTTAGTTGTATGCGGAGTACCACCGCCTTCTTTATTCAGAACTTTTGTGATCAGATCTTTGTATACTGTATTGTGAAATTAACATACAGTTCATTGTTGATACGACTGATAAAGTTGCCTAACCTGTGTCTGCTTACCGGGTCTGAGTGCCGTAAACTCACCTGGTAACCGATCTCTCACCAGCACCATCTGCTGCTATCATTGCAGTAATACCTTGCCTGCCACGTATCTATTGCTTCTGTTAGAGAGACTATACTACTCACTCGTGTTGCATTTACGTGAACTCACCACTACTCACTCGTGTTGCATTTACGTGAACTCACCACTACTACACGCGCTACCTACTAGGACAGGCAGGTCACTTGTTTCATGGGTATCGGTGCCATGATGCGTGGAAACCAGCGGCCGAGATTGCCGCATAACAGACTTGGTCCTGTGTGTTTTGACGCGGAACGGGGTTCCGCAGCTGAGCTCCATTTCCCACCTTAATAGAAAGGTTATTACAATCTGCTGATCTGTGTGGTGACCCCGGAAGGTTGAAGGTGAGAACCAGCTCATCAATTTTAACACTGGAAGGTGTACCACAGGAGAAAAGGATGACCAGGAAAACCTCTATGAATCAGACTTGAACAATTGAGGCCAGATGGACTACATGGAGCCAACGTCCTCAATTCCCTCATTAAGGGTAAATGTAGTAGCTACAAACTGAGATTGGTGTGAAAAGGTTCTTCACATCTCGTAACTGATCCATGGAGCAGTCCGTGACCTGTAATGACCAGCACTTACGTGTGTTATAATTGGCAGGGGAGGGCGGAAATGAATGTTGTTGACCCAAGTCATACATGGATCTTTCTATAAAGAAGATTCCCTTTCACACTAGTTGTGGCAAAATACTAGTCCCATGTGGGGGGTACTCAATCAAGTATTTTATCCTGTGTGAGAGGCCTTGTCGCTATAGACACAGACTCCCCTTCAGACCAGCTTCATCTAGGTTCTCCAACACCTTTTGTCTCAACCAAAATATGGCTCAGACTTCCTGTTTTATCAGATCCCACCAAAACCACTGTCCAGAAAAAAAGTGAAAGCTCTTTGGGATTCCTTAGTTCCCGTTATAAGCGAGTGTCTGCTCCTGGGACCATCTCCCTGTGGGACTATGCAGTAGTATGAACAGGGACCTAGGTGGTCAAATAAAGGAGCTGCTTTGTCCTCAACCTCTCCCCGGCCCCAAACAGCTGGTTCTTAGCCCACATGGGCCTACTCAGGCCGCTGGTCTTATGTGCTATGTATTGGTTGGCAGGGTCCAAAGGGAAGCCACAGTCTGTAGACCCTCCATAGATTTTTGTTTTTAGCCTCTGAGTGTTTGCTCTTGGTTGATCGGAGCGACATCCAGGATTCCATATATCGGCAGTAGTCTACCAGTACTTGTTGGTTGGAGCTAGGTCCAGGATTTCAGAGATCCGGCATTAGTCTACCAGTACTTGTTGGTTGGAGCTAGGTCCGGGATTTCATAGCTCCGGCATTGGTCTACCAGTACTTGTTGGTTGGAGCTAGGTCCGGGATTTCATAGCTCCGGCATTGGTCTACCAGTACTTGGTTGGAGCGAGGTCCAGGATTTCAGAGATCCGGCATTAGTCTACCAGTACTTGTTGGTTGGAGCTAGGTCCGGGATTTCATAGCTCCGGCATTGGTCTACCAGTACTTGGTTGGAGCGAGGTCCAGGATTTCAGAGATCCGGCATTAGTCTACCAGTACTTGTTGGTTGGAGCTAGGTCCGGGATTTCATAGCTCCGGCATTGGTCTACCAGTACTTGGTTGGAGCGAGGTCCAGGATTTCAGAGATCCGGCATTAGTCTACCAGTACTTGTTGGTTGGAGCTAGGTCCGGGATTTCATAGCTCCGGCATTGGTCTACCAGTACTTGGTTGGAGCGAGGTCCAGGATTTCAGAGATCCGGCATTAGTCTACCAGTACTTGTTGGTTGGAGCTAGGTCCGGGATTTCATAGCTCCGGCATTGGTCTACCAGTACTTGGTTGGAGCGAGGTCCAGGATTTCAGAGATCCGGCATTAGTCTACCAGTACTTGTTGGTTGGAGCTAGGTCCGGGATTTCATAGCTCCGGCATTGGTCTACCAGTACTTGGTTGGAGCGAGGTCCAGGATTTCAGAGATCCGGCATTAGTCTACCAGTACTTGTTGGTTGGAGCTAGGTCCGGGATTTCATAGCTCCGGCATTGGTCTACCAGTACTTGGTTGGAGCGAGGTCCAGGATTTCAGAGATCCGGCATTAGTCTACCAGTACTTGTTGGTTGGAGCTAGGTCCGGGATTTCATAGCTCCGGCATTGGTCTACCAGTACTTGGTTGGAGCGAGGTCCAGGATTTCAGAGATCCGGCATTAGTCTACCAGTACTTGTTGGTTGGAGCTAGGTCCGGGATTTCATAGCTCCGGCATTGGTCTACCAGTACTTGGTTGGAGCGAGGTCCAGGATTTCAGAGATCCGGCATTAGTCTACCAGTACTTGTTGGTTGGAGCTAGGTCCGGGATTTCATAGCTCCGGCATTGGTCTACCAGTACTTGGTTGGAGCGAGGTCCAGGATTTCAGAGATCCGGCATTAGTCTACCAGTACTTGTTGGTTGGAGCTAGGTCCGGGATTTCATAGCTCCGGCATTGGTCTACCAGTACTTGGTTGGAGCGAGGTCCAGGATTTCAGAGATCCGGCATTAGTCTACCAGTACTTGTTGGTTGGAGCTAGGTCCGGGATTTCATAGCTCCGGCATTGGTCTACCAGTACTTGGTTGGAGCGAGGTCCAGG